AGATATGACCTTATATTGTCTATTTGTGCTCTTTCAGCTTTTTTGATGTAGGCATTTAAAGCTATGAACTTTCTTCTTAGCACCACTTTTGCTGTATCCCAGAAGTTTTGACAAGTTTGTCACTATTTTTGTTCAGTTTGAAACTTTCTTTAATTTTCATTTTGATTTCTTTTTTAGCCCAACCGTCATTCAGGAGATGGTTATATAATTTCCATGTATTTGCATGGTTTTTGGTGTTCTTTTCTGTGTTAATTTTCAGTTTTCTTTCACTGTGGTCTTAGAGAATACTTGATATAATTTCAAGCTTCTTAAATTCACTGAAACATGTTTTGTGGCCTGTCATGTAATCTATCTTGAACAATGTTCCATGTGCTGATGATTATAATATATATTCTGTAGTTGTTAGGTAGAATGTTTTGTAAGTATCTGTTAAGCTCACTTGTTCTAGGATATAGTTTAGGTCTGTTGTTTCTTTGCTGACTTTCTGTCTTGATGACATGTCTAATACTGTCAGTGGATTATTAAAGTCCCCCACTATTTTTGAATTGTTGTGTATCTCATTCCTTAAGTAAGTCTAGCAGTAATTTCTTAAATATAAATTTGGGAGCTTCAGTGTTAGGTGCATATACATTTAAGATTGTGATATGTTCCTGTAGGACCAGTTCTTTTATCATTATGTAATGTGCCCCTTTGTCTTTTTTAACTGTTGTTGCATTAAAGTCTGTTTTGTCTAATATAAGAATAGCTACTCTTGCTCATTTTTAGTGTTCATTTATGTGGAATACCTATTTCCACTCCTTTAAGTTTATATGAGTCTTTATATGTTAGGCTAATCTCCTGAAGACAGAAGAAACTGGGTTGATGAATTCTTATCCATTTTTCCATTCTATATCTTTTAGGTGGGGCATTTAGGTGAGTTACATTCAACATTAGTATTGAGATGTGAAGTACTATTCTATTCATTATGCTAGTTGCCAGAATATCTTGGGTTTTTTAATTGTGTTATTGTTATACAGGTCCTGTGAGAGTTAAACTTTAATGAAGTTCCATTTTTTTGTGTGTATTTTGAGGATTTGTTTCAAGATTTAAGGTTCTTTCAGCAGTTATTGTGGTGCCAGCTTGGTAGTGGAAAATTTTCTCAGCATTTGTTTGTCTGGAAAAGACTGTATCTTTCCTTCACTTATGAAACTTAGTTTTGCTAGAGACAAAATTCTTGCCTGATAACTGTTTGTTTAAGGGGGCTAAACATAGGAATTCAGTACCTCCTAGCTTGTAGAGTATCTGCTGAGAAATTTGCTGGGATTCTGATAGGATTTCCTTCATAGGTTACCTGATGGCAAAGTTTTTGCCTCATGGTTCTTAAGATTCTTTTCTTCATCTTGACTTTAAATAACCTGACTAATATGTGCCTAAGTGATGGGGTTTTTTTTGCAATGAATTTCCCAGGTGTTCTTTGAGCTTCTTGTATTTGGATGTCTAGATTTCTAGCAAGGATGGGAAAATTTTCCTTGACTATTCACTTAAATATGCTTTACAGATTTTTAGATTTCTCTTCTTCCTTAGGAACACCAATTATTCTTAGGTTTGGATGCTTAAACTAGTCTCAAACTTCTTGGTGGCTTTATTTTTTTTAATTATTTTTTCTTTGTCTTTGATGAATTGGTTTAATGTGAAAGCCTTGCCTTCATTTTTAAATTATTTTTTCTTTGTCTTTGATGAATTGGTTTAATGTGAAAGCCTTGTCTTCAAGCTCTGAAGGTGTATCTTCTTATTGTTTGATTCTATTGCTGAGACTTTCCAGTGCATTTTGCACTTCTCTAGGAGTGTCCTTGATTCCAGAAGTTGTGATTGTATCACACTTTTTGTTTCCTTAAGTTGCACTTCACCTTTCTCTGGTGCCTCATTGATTAGCTTAATAGTGGATCTTCTGAATCATTTTTTTGGCAATTCAGAGATTTTATTTTGGTTTGGATCCATTGATGGTGAGCTGGTGTAATTATTTGAGGGTGTTAAATAACCTTGTTTTGTTATATTATCAGAATTGTTTTTCTCGTTCCTGCTCATTTTGTAGATTCTGACAGAGGCAAGAACTGGGGCTCAAGGGCTGCTGTTCAGATTTTTTGGTCCCATAGGGTACTCCCTTGATGTGGCATTCTCCCCATTCCCACAGGGGAATTGCTTCCTGACAGCTGAACTGGAGGGATTGTTTTTGCTCTTCTGGGTCTAGCCACCCAGTGGAGCTATTGGACTCTAGATTGGTACTAGGGAGTGTCTGCAAAGAGTCCTGTGATGTGATCCATCTTCGGGTCTTTCAGCCATGGATACCACTATTTGCTCTGGTGGAGGTAGCAGGAGAGTGAAGTGGACTGTGTGAAGGACTTTGGCTGTATTTTTGCTTAGTGCACTGGTTTTATGTTAGTTGACCTCCAGCCAGGAGGTGGTGCTTTCAAGACTATATCAGCTGCTGTACTATAGGGAGGAAGCAAACTTGCCCTAGGGTCACAGGTAGGGCCGTAGAGCTACCAAAACGTTATGTTCTTGACATCAGTAACCAGGGAAGATAGAGAAAGACCATAAGGTAGGGGGCAGAGATAGGCATCTCTGAGCTCAGACTCTCCTTGGGTGGTGTGATTCCCAGGCCAATGAAGCTACGTTCCCAAGGAATTATGGCTGTCTCTGCTGAGTCACACAGATCTCAAAGGAAGTGGTGGGGAGAGGGACCAGCAGCAACGAGCCTCACCCTGCTCCTATATAGCATTCAGTCCTACAGGCTCGTCTTATTGCCTCTGTGCCCCTCAACAACACTGAGTCTGTTACCAGGCATTTGGTGAGCAAGGCTGAGAACTTGCCCCTGACCACCAGCCTCCCTGCAGAGAAAGAAAGCCAACTCAGTTTTTTGGCATCTCAGGGAGCCTGCAGCTGGTGATACAATTTCTTTAAAGGGTTTGTGGATTCTCTCAGCTTTCCCAGTATGTGCTATGGTAGTTCTTGGAGCAAAAGTTCACAATGTGAGTCTCCATATGCTGCTCTGTCTGTCCATGTGGGAGCTGCAAGCTAGTCCTGCCTCCTATCTGCCATCTTTTAAAGGCCTATATTTTAAATATTCAAAGTTGAGTAGAAAATACTTGGAAAATTACTCTTTCTCCCTTGTGGCCATTTGCCTTTTTTACTGCACAGATCCCTGTTGTTAAACAATGTCTAGCCTAACCCCTGTGAGTGCTCCTTAGTAAGAACTGTAAACCTTGTAGCTTATTCCTGAGAAGTAGGAAAAGAGCATCTTTCAAGCAGGGATTGGTGCAGAGGACTGATTATGGCCAATAGGTAACCACTGATGGCAAAAAGAAAAGAAAGCGGGAAGTGTCAGTTTCTGGGACCCCTTGCAAGCAAAGGAAAAGTATGGCCAAATTACAATGGAGTTGTCACAAAGTGTATTTGGTGAGAAGGTCACATATCCTAAAAGGTTAAAAAAAAAAATCAAAGGGAATAGGAGAGAGAAGATGGGGATGCTGCGGGTTACATCAGTTCTCTACCCAGTATTCCCTTTCTGTGCCCCTAATCTTCCAGTCTCTGTCATCTTGGCAATTCTCTACCTTCAGATTCAATGAGGATATCTCACTCCTGGAACTTGGAATGCAGAGGCTGAAAATAGTTCTGGGCAGTTAGTATTTCCTCTGATATGTGGAAATGAAACTATAAAAATAGAAATTATTTTAGCAACATAAAATAGGAAAAAGTAAATTTAGCCATCCTAATTGTGAGCATCCAATTTTGATATGTTTAGGTTATCAGAAGTTTCTAATTATAGTAATTAAGTTCTAGTTTGTTAGTTAACACATTTACTTCATAAAGTTTATTTAAACCAGTGACATAATGTGAAGAAAACAAATTGTTGCCATCTATTTTCTTTTTATGTTTAAAAGATGGTTGTGATTTTTTGAAATCTGCGAATTCCTAACCCATTTTCTTAGTACCGCTTTGCTTTAGATACATTGGCCTCAGACACCATTCCCTTGTGATTTGAATATTTTTCACATTCAGAAAATTGAGAATGATTAAAAGTAAACAGAATCGGTAAACCGTCATATATAAATCACTGTCATGTTTTGTGACAAAATAAAATCTGAAAAATATGAATCACAAAAAGAACAAGAACAAAGTAAAATCTTGTATGCTTCAGTTCTAATATTTGTAGGATAGCTCTCTACTATGATGTCCCTGAAAATTTTGAACAGTTTATCTATGCTTAAAACTAGGAGTTAATCTCAGAATGTATACTTCTCCTGTATACAGTATATGTATTCCTGAAATGCTGAACATTCCATGAAATCATGCACTGCAAATAAAAATTGGCTTAGGGACAGACCACTGAAACATATGAACCATTGTGATAAGACCACTAACAGAAACAAAATTTAGCAGAGACCCCTAACCTGGACAGCCTAGGCTGCTTTAGGAGATATTAAGAAATGCATTAAATCAATAGAGAGAAAATGCTGGACTGTGGGCTTTAAGAACACCAAGAAGGAGGAAATGGGACTCTGAGCCCAGAAAGAAAGAAAAACTAGCCAATAACTGAGTACTGTTTGAAGCAGAGCCTGAAAGTCTTTTGACCCCCAGTAATCCAGTATTTCTTGCCTAAGAAAAATTTATATGAATCAACATAATTTTCATGTTTTATTAATAACATTCCCCTTTTACCAATCAGGTTTAAGTTAATCAATATTATAGGAAGAACAGAGTATATAGATATATAATGCTCTTTCTTCCCTATAAAAATAGGAAGAGAAAAGTAGATCAAATATGTCTATGACATTACCATATGATTTAAGCCTTTGAGATTCCTAATAATTTTGCTTCCTGGGTGGATGTAGGCCAGAACGATGGAATAATTTTCCAAAATTTTAAACTTTTTAAAATTCAAAATGTATCAATGTAGAATATCACCTAGTTACATTTGAAACATTTTCCTTGGATTGATATCTTCTTATCTCATGTTGCAGGAGGTATTTTAGCTCCAATATATTTTGGGGCTCTGACTGATATAACATGTATGAAGTGGTCCACCAAAGACTGTGGAGCACGAGGAGCTTGTAAGATACATAATACCATATTTTTGGGGTAAGTTTTCAAACATATTTTATTAATAGATTTTTTCTTAACTATGTTAATTTCTAAAGTCTATCTTTTTTAATGTGATTATAATCGTAATAATGATAGCTACCATTTAGTGAACACTTGCTTTGTATTTAGTATTTTATCAGGCATTGTGGTATCTCACTTTAATAATCATAGAAGCTGTAGAAAATGGATTTTTCTGTCTTTTCCTTAAATATGAAGAAAACAAGTTTCAAGAATAATGAATAACTTGTCCAAAATTGCAAAACTAAAAGAAATACAGCTAGGATTTGTACTTGAATCTCTTTTTATTACAAAACTCTCCTCCTCTGGCTTCTCCAGGAAGACATAGAATGACCAGCTGGTAACCTGGTTATATGGTCATTGAGGAAAATGCATGAAAAAATGTTTCAATATTCTTCTATTCATAGGCAGAGGTATTTTCTAAGAGGTATTCTTAAGATAACTGGATGATCATCTGGAAGAAAAGAAGTTGCTGCAATTTTTTCTTACCTACTAAAGAAACATTAATTTGAAATTTACGTATTGACCAAATATATAAATTTTACATATGAAATTATAAATATTAGAACTACCCATATAGGATTTCTTTTAATTATCTAGGAAGAAAAAAATGTGTTTCTAAGTGTATTAGTCCAATCTCACACTGCTAATAAAGATATTTGGAGACTGGGTAATTTATAAAGGAAAGAGGTTAAATGGACTTACAGTTCTTCAGGTCTCAGGAGGCCTCAGGAAACTTACAATTATGGCAGAAATGGAAGCCAACACATCTTTCTTTACATGGCAGCAGTAAGGAAAAGTGAAGAGTGAAGGAAGGGAAGAGCCCCTTATAAAACCATCAGATCTCATGAGAACTCACTCACTTTCATGAGAAGAGCGTGGAGGTAACCATCTCCATAATTCAATTATCTTCCACTGGGTCCCTCCCACGACACATGGGTATTATGAAAACTACAGTTCAAAATGAGATTTGAGTGGGGACACAGCCAAATCATATCATTCTGACCCTGGCTCATCTAAAATCTCATGTCCTCACATTTCAAAATACAATTATGCCTCCCCAACAAGCTCCCAAAGTCTTAACTCATTTCAGCATTAACTCAAAAGTCCACATCCAATGTCCTGTGTGAGACAAGGCAAGTCCCTTCTGCCTATGAGCTGGTAAATTCACGAACAAGTAAGTTATTTCCTAGAAACAATGGGGGGTAAGGTAAAGGCATTGGGTAAATACACCCATTCAAATGGGAGAAATTGGCCAAAACAAAGGGACTACAGGCCCCATGCAAGTCTGAAATCTAATAGGGCACTCATTAAACCTTATTGTTCCAAAATGACCACTTTTGACTCCATGTCTCACATCCAGATCACACAGATGCAAGACGTGGGCTCCCATGGTCTTTGGTAGCCTCACCATTGTGGCTCTGCAGGGTACAACTTCCCCTCCAGGCTGCTTTTATGGGCTGGTATTGTGTCTGTGGCTTTTTCAGGCACACAGAGCAAGGTGTTCGTGGGTCTTCCATTCTGGGGTATAGAAGATGGTAGCCAACTTCTAATAGCTCCACTAGGCAGTGCCCTTGTGGGGACTCTGTGTGGGGGTTCCAACCCCACATTTTGCCCTAGCAGAGGTTCTGTATGAGGGCACATTCCTGCAGAAAGCTTCTGCCTGGAAATCTAGGCAGTTCCATACATGATTTGAAATCTACAGGGAGGTTCCCAAAAATCAATTCTTGACTTCTGTGCATCTACAGGCTCAACACCACATGGAAGCTGTCAAGGACTGGGGCTTGCCACCTCTAAAGCCATGGCCCAAGCTGTACCATGGCCTCTTATAAAAATGTCTGGAGTGGCTGGGACCTGTAGCACCAAGTTCCTAGGCTACACACAGCAGGGGTCCTGGAGCCCAGCCCTCAAAACCAGTCCTTCCTCTTAGGTATCCTGGCTTGTGATGGGAGGGGCTGCCGCAAAGTTCTCTAACATGCCCTGGAGACATTTTCCCCATTATCTTGGCAATTAACATTTGGCTTCTCATTACCTATGGAAATTTCTGCAGCTGACTTGAATTTCTCCCCAGAATATAGGTTTTTCTTTTCCACTGCATCATCAGGGTGCAAATTTTTCAAACTTTTAGGCCCTGCTTTCCCTTTAACATAAGTTCCAATTTCAGATCATCTTTCTTAAGTTCAAAATTCCAGAGTTCTCTAGGGCAGTAGCAAAATGCTCCTAGTCNCTTTTCTACTGCATTGTGGGTTTTCCGCAAAATGGGTTTTTCTTTTCTACTGCATCACCAGGCTGAAAATTTTTAAAACTTTTATGCTTTGCTTCTGTTTGAACACTTTGCCACATAGAAATTTCTTCCACCAGATACCTAAATCATCTTTCTCAAGCTTACAGTTCCACAGATTTCTACAGTAGGGGCAAAATGTCACCCAACCCTTTGCATAGCAAGAGTGACCTTTACTCCAGTTCCCAACACGTTCCTCATCTCCATCTGAGACTACCTCAGCCTGGACTTTATCATCCATATCACTATCAGCAATTTGTTCAAAGTCTCTTGGAAGTCTCTTGGAAGTTTCAAACTTTCCCACATCTTCCTGTTTTTTGAGCCCTCCAAGTCTCTAGGTTCTTCTGAGCCCTTCAGCCAGTTCCAACCTCTGCCGGTTACCAAATTCCAAAGTTGCTTCCATATTTGTGGTTATCTTTACAGCAGTGCCCCCTTATCCAGTATCTTTTTACTCTAGTAGTCCATTCTCATGTTGCTAATAAAGACATACTCAAAATTGAGTAATTTATAAAGGAAAGAGGTTTAATTGACTAGCAGTTCTGCAGGGCTAAGGAGGCCTCAGGAAACTTACAGTTATAGCATGGGGGGAAGCAAACATGTCCTTTTTCACATGGCAGCCGCAATAAGTGCCAAGCAAAGGGAGAGAAAAGCCCCTTATAAAACTATCAGATCTCATGAGAACTCACTGTCATAAGAACAATTTGGAGATAATTACCCCCATAATTCAATTACCTCTCACTGGATCTTGTCCACAACACTTGGAGATGATGGGAACTAAAATGAGATTTGGGTGGAGATACAACCAAACCATAACACTAAATATGACCCAAATGCCCCAAATGATAATTTTTTTAAAATGGTAGAAGTATTTTTATTGCCAAAGCAATAAAACCCAAACGTTTATACCCAATAATATGATTAACAGGCTGAATGGTAATATTGTTTTACATTCTCTCATATATCACCAGAGTGCTTTCTACAATGGCAGAACTAATTTACAATCCCACCAGTAATGTATAAGTAAATGTTCCCTTTTCTTCACCACACTGTCAGTATCTGTCATTATTTTGCTTGTTAACAATAGCCATTCTAACTGGCGTGAAATGGTATCTCATTGTAGTTTGATTTGTATTTCTCTAATAATTAGTGATGTTGAATCCTAAGTGGACCTATGGAACAGAAAATCAAATACCACATATTCTCCTGTATAAGTGGGAGCTAAACCTTGAGTATACATGGAAAAAAAGAAGGGAACAAGAGACAATGGGTGGAGTGTCTACCTGTGGGTGGAGGGTGAGAAGAGTGTGATGATACAAAGCTACCTGTAAGTGACTATGATTATTACCTGGGTGACAATAAGTCTATACACGAAACCTGTGTAGCATGCAATTTACCTATATACAAAGAGCCACATGTGCCTCTGAAACTAAAATAAATATTAAAACAAAGAAGATAAAGACAAGGAATAAATAAAAAAATTTTTAAAACCACATCACCAAAACTTACTGTAAGTGTAGTTCAACAACAAAATATAAATTAGAATAATTTATAAGTCAGACACAGACATAGGCAAATGTTCTATGTATGTAAAAATCTCTTAAAAATTAACAAAAACAACACCAAATGCTGACAAGAATAGGACAACAGGAATTTTCTTTTATTATTAGTGGTAATGTAATATGGTACAGCCATGTTAGAAGATGAAGTTTCTTACAAAGCTAAAGATAGATTTATTGTATGATTAAGCAAGCATGCTCCCAGATATTTACCTAAATTAGTTGGAAACATGTCCACACAAAAACTGGCATTTGAATGTAAAAAAGTGGAAGTATTTAAGATGTCTTTCAATAGGTAAACAAATAACTGAACTGTGGTACATTCATACAATGGAATATTAGTCATCAATGTATTGGTCCAGTCTCATAATGCTATAAAGAACTACCTGAGACTGGCTAAATTATGAAGAAAACAGGATTAATTGATTCAAAATTCAACAGGCTTTAGAGGCAGCATGACTGGGAGGCTGCAGGAAACTTACAATCATGGTAGAAGGCAAAGGGGAAACAAGACATGTCTTCTCATGGCAACAGGAAAGAGAGAGAAAGAGAGAGCAAAGGTGGAAGTACCACACACTTCTAAACATCAGATCTCATACCTCACTCAATATCTTGACACTAGAAAGGAGGAAATCCACCCCCATAATCCAATCGCCTCCCATCGGGCCCCTCCTCCAATTCAACATGAGATTTGGGCAGAGACACAAATCCAAACCACATTAAACAATGTTTTAAAAAATAAGCTATCAATCTACAAAAACAAAGAAAAAACTTAAATGTGTAGATTTTTAAAAGGCCATCTACAAAAGCTTCGGGTTATAAAATTTTAACTGTATGACTTTGTAGAGAAGGCAAAACAATTGGGCACTGAAAAGAGCAGTTGTTTCTTGGGGCTCAGTGGGGAGAAGTCAGGGATGAATAGGTCTGACACGACATTTTTTAGGCTAACGAGACTATTCTACATGATATTATAACATTGGTTTTTAATATTATGCATTTGCAAGACCTATAGAAATTTACAACATTCAAAAGTGAGCTCTAATGTAAAATATGAACTTAATAACGTATCAGTATTTTTTCATCATTTGGAAGAAATGTGCTGTACTAATACAAGGGGTTAATGATGGTAGAAACTGAATATG